TAGTGGCGGAATCGTCGCAAGAAGTTTACAAGTGCCAACATTTCCTTGTGTGTCGTACAGTATCGCTTATCTCGCTTTGAGGGACTTCGGCTGGCATATGCGATTAATCATTCCATCGCGTCACCTGAACGCTGGGAGGGCGCCGCAGCAATCGCGTTCTCACTTGTGTCTGTGTCGAGGATAAAGTTGTCGGCAGACGGCAATATATCCGGATAGGTTAAACTAGGTGTGGAACACAAGCAGTCGCGGCGCTGTCACAACGCTTTGGCCTGTTCTCCGGACCAAACAAAAGGAGTGTTCTTTTGCAGGAGGGAAGTAAGTGGAGTAGCGATCTTAGCGAATCCAGTTATGAATGGACGATAATATGAAGCCAGTTCAATGAAGCTAGGGATCTGATCATCTGATTTTGGGGTTGACCATGCCTCAACTTTTTCCATCTCAGCGGGATCACACCGGATTCCGTTGGCTGAGATTACATGCCCGAGGTAGCTGACTTCCCGTTGGTAAAGCGCACATTCCGACGGTTTCAGCTTCAGTCTGAGCGGTTTGAATCGGTCCAAAATAAGCTTTATGCTAGCGTTAAGCTCCGGCCCCGTTTTGCCGTTTACGATTATGTCATCCAGGTAAACTAAACACTTATCCGGAACCAGTCCATGCGGAGCTGCGCATATTAGGCGCCGGAATGTGGCTGGGGTCCGAATGGGGCTGGTCAATCCGAATGGCATAGTTTTAAGCTTATATAAGCCCGATGGGATCGCGAAAGCGGTATTGCAACGGTCACGAGGCTGTATTTCCACTTGCCAGTAACCAGAGGCTACGTCCAGCGTGATGGACAAGGATGCACCTCCTAGGCGTCGAAGGCATCATCAATGCGGAGCAGCTGAGACAGTCTTTCGGGGGATGGCATTCGACTTGCGATATTCAACACAACCGTAAAGAACCATCGTGTTTCTTCAACCAAAACTACTGGTGAGGCCCATGGTGACGCAAAAGGTTTGACGGTGTCCTTGTTCAGCATGTCATCGATCATTTGATTTAGCTGGTTTTGGTACTGAATCGGGACACGTCGTGTTGTTAGGCGGATGGGTGTAGCATCTTCAGTGTCAATACGATGTACGTGTTTCCTCCCACTAACATCCGAATCATTTCAAGTGAAAACGCAGGTATACTTCCTAGTTCTGCCTTCGCCGACGAGCTCGTTGTTGGTGAGAGTCGCGGCAGAAGTGCCTCTACGTTGGTCGACGTGGCGGGATAGCACTCATCGGAGGAGTCAGCAGTCATGATGTTGGGTATTTGGTTCCCCTCAAGTTTGATGGTACCTGCTAGGAGGTTGACCTACCCCCGTTGACTTCGCGGGAATTCTACCCCCAGTATGACATCCCAGGGTAAATTATCAGCGACTAGCATGGGCTGGTGGATCGTAGTTTGATGCAGGGTTAGCGGTACCGTTAATCAACCCTTAGAATGAACGGGTGCACCGTTAGCAGCCAGGAGTTTGAAGGAGCAGTGTCTGAAAGGACCCGCACCTAAGGGTAAATTCTTGGTATCAATCAGGCAACAGGCTGTCCCGGTATCAATCAGTATTCTACATCCTCTATCCCAGACATGACCGTCTACTGTGGGAGGTGTCCGGTGCGTACTCAAAACGTCGAAAGTGCTAATTGGAACACACCGGAATTGAGTGAACTCACGTGGTCCATTGTGTCCACAGGTTCGGGCGCGTGCCCGGAAGCGCTGGCAGTAGGGGCAGCCACGGCATGGGGTGGGCCATCTCGGAATGTTTGTTGGGGTTAGACGCTGAACAGTAAGGCGAAAATACTGTTGGTTGGGGGGCACTGGCACGGGTTGGTGTCCGACGTCTGCTGTGTTGTTGGATGAGGACGGGAGCGCACCCACTGGCCCCGAAGACCCTAAACACTGCACGGTTGACAACGCTTCATTTAACTGCATGCCCTACCAGGCGCCGGTCCTACTCGATTTAGTTTGATCTGGCCGTACTACTTACTGAAATACTCCTGCTTCTCCAGAATCGCTGTTTTGGTTTCCGATTTTCCGCAACATGCACTTTCGTATCACGTGCCAGGCAGCACCACTCCGTGTTGAACTTCCCCCGTTGTGTTGTTACCGGCATATTCGAATTGTAACGGTTCGGTATTAGTTCAATTTGGTGTGTTCTATAAGAGGTGGAAATACCGTAATAACCGTGGTTTTCCGCCCCTTTAATGTCCGAAGCGATTAGATCGTGCCAGTTTAGACATGATCTACACTGTGTTGGATAACGACCATTATTTGCGAGACTGTTTCGCACAGCACCCAAAAGTGGCGACAGTCTTGCCTTTATCACGGGTGTGCCATTATGATCACAAGATACGGTATGCCACCCACCAGTTGGTAATAAATATTATTATTATTATCATCATCAAAACTCGGACCACCATGTACCGACTCCTGCGAATGCGGTACGGTGCTAGCACAACTCATTTGAGGGCACTCAGATTTACGAGCCCGAAAATTGCATTGAGTATTCAGCTTGGCGCAAAAACGCCCATCACAACCTAGTCCGGTTTGCATCCAACTATTCTGGTATGGAAACGGCGGTTGCGCATCAGAGGGATGTCTGATTAAGTATATTTATGTTTCCTTTAAAGCACCTGCCGGTCCAAGTATCAACAATTCTTTAACCCTGTTAATAACAGACCCTCCAACAGCATGCTAAACTGGGTGTAGATACGTAAACTGAGGAGTGCAAGCGATACATCACCCAAAGACCTGCTTTGATCAGCAAGATAATCACCGGTAGAAACGGGTTATTCATTGCTATTGGAATAGTTAACCAATCAATGAGACATAACTTTAAGACCAATCCTCAACTGGTGTCCAGCTACCATTGAGCCTTGAGTGGCTTGATGAAATCAGAAAGCTTGAGAAATGGAAGAGACCAATACGACAGGGAATGCACGGAATTTTTTCCAGCTATTTCGCGAAACAGGACCTAAAGGAACTTCCGTGTGTTAGTCAAAGATGACAGTGGGAGCCCAACACACAATAAAGATCAGTGTCTAGATTGCTCATTTATTTGAAGCACTCATCTCGAGCGGTGACCTATGTGTGACTTCCATTTCAATCGATGCGGGAATAACATGCCTCAGCCTTGGCGTGCCATCGGGCTACTGAACCAGACGAGGATCCCTCAGGGTTTTTCAAATGCAGAGGAGGACCTGTGTTTCGTACGTAGTTAGGAACAAGAACGTGTTCCAGACAATTGAAGCCAGTAAATGGTCGCACCGATGTTCAAGAAGAAATACCCGGACTGACGAAATAACCGTACGCCCATAAGTCACACGCCTATCACTACCCGGCTACTAACCTCCCCTACGCTGCACCATTTGTCAGCAGCGAGGTGCTAGCCTGAAAGCATAAAGTAGTAGGGTGACCTGGAAGGGCGAGCATTGATTATATTTTTACATTATATCAAGTACATGAGCAGTGCTACATACCGGCATGTAACAGTCGCGGTTTCCCTAGACTTTAAAGGAGCCCCCGATTATAAATAACCATGACCAATCAGGTATGCCCGTAAAGGTTGTTAAAACATTCCTCGGACCCTTTCTCTTTATAAGTCCGGTCGGACTGGGGTGTGCAGTGCGTTATCCAGAAGCAGCATGACTAGTGGAGTTGGTCAGGGTTGTAACCTCTCCTGTCCTGTCTAACTTTGTCATCGACGTCCTCGTGAAGTGCACATTACAAGAGATCATGAACTCAGGTATCGAAATATCCGGACAGAGATTCTGAGCTTAGACTATGCGGACGATAGCACTTTGTTCTTTGGCGATTACTAGTTTGCACTAAAACAGAAAGTCATAATCGGTCCCATGTTTCGCATGCGGTTTTCATCCTCAAATTCCTCGCTTTTTTGTTCGCTGAAACTTCAAAATGAAAAACCTGATTTATCGCAAGACCCGTGTATCCTGTCAGCTACAAGACCCATGATCATGCTGCGACGGATGAAGTTGATGCGCGACAATCAAGGAGTAATCAGAATCCACCAACTTAAGCCATTCACACCTCCAAAACAGAATTTTCCCGAAGCTTAAGGAGCATATACACAAGGTGACTGCGAGACCGGTCTTGCTCTATGATCGTGAAGCTTGGTTCTTCGATCCTGGGCACTTTCAAAGGTTTGGCCACTAATGTCTTCGTAGCATAAAATCGGTCAGCTCGTTGCAGTGAGTGCGCAACAAGGTGCTAAACAAACGATTACTTGGTAACGGATTCTTATCTTTAGAGTGGTATAGCACACTCATTAGGTTGGTATATACCGAAGGATGCGTTGTTTTCAGTGCCAGACGACTGCTGACGAAAGGCTTGTAGGAGACAGGCAACGTGAAATAAAATTGGTTACCGTCAAACTGAGTGCTGTGGGAAATACACGCCTTCCCGGCTCATTCTGTTATCAAGACTAAACAGACCACAACAGGAGACGCTTTTGTAAAATCTCTGCCTGTTATTCAGCCCATACCACTGACGCTTTTCAAATTCATGCCATCGAAGCAGACAAAAGACTTGTGCTGACTTTGTTAACGGAGATCCCCCGTTCATAGAACAATCAAAATATCAAATCTCCTCACTTCGCAATGGTTTTCATTGGCTCATGGGCCCAAACATAAGCGTTCGCCAAGTTTTGTTGGGAATTCTAAGGCCGACCGACTTGCCTCATGCAGAGTAATTCCCAGGATACTTTAGAGAAATACATACATTTGTAAACTAATCTGGTTCTGCGAAAGACTCAACTGGAACCCAGCTGAATCTCTCGTTTGTGATGTTTCCAAGCAACTGGATGTGTTGCAACAGGCCGCCTCATGTTTCAGTCGCTACGATATTCGAGATATCGCGATACATGTATATTTGTAATGTACTACTCATAAGGTTATTGAAAAGTCGTCGATAGCCTACGGCCGGTTCCGCCCTCTCTTGGGGCTCATCAGCAGTCCCCGAGTTCCTGTCAACCTTGTGTTCTACTTGAAACCACTACTTTGTTGATTCTGATGGTTCAGTGCCTTATAATATGTAGTATTTGTGGACAGTGGTTGCCGCTTCAGGCAATCAAGGCTTGAGTAAGAAAATGATGACGAACGCCAGGATAGAAAAACGCATGGATGGCGACGGACTTGACATTATAGCGATGCAACAGCTTAATGGGAAAATGGGGAAGTACGAATAGAGCAACATAAGTGGTTTTGGTAAACAGGTAGGAAGTTTAAAGATCCATGGATCGACAACGTGATTCTAGCCAACATTGGCCAGTATTTACAGCAGCAGGAAAACAAAATCATGAGAAAATTCGTCGATTGATTTTGAGTCAAAAAAGGTGGAATAAAAACAAACAAAAATAGACAGGACTCTACATGAATATGGAGGGAAAGGTCAAGGTTCATCGATATTGAAAGTAGGCCGGGAAGAATCGGGTACCGATGACTGTTCCACGGATTCCTTTTGAGTAGTAAGTTTCGAGGGAGACGGGACAGATTCCTCAAGAGTAGAAATTTGTTCAATATCTCGAGCAGCTAGCTCTAGACTACCACGAAGAAGTACAGAAGTCGCGTTGTCGAGGTGATCCATCACCCCTCGCTGAAGCCACTTGGGGATAGTGACGCGTGCTTTGCGAAAACCTACGCTTTCCAACAGGCGATCAAAGGCTGGAACACCAATGTTTGACGCCAAAAGCCAACGACAAACAGGGCTCAAAGACCAGTGAACAATTTCATACGAGCGTGCATCTTGCACCAATGGTGAGCTGGTGGTTGACAGCGCACGAAGTCGGTTTGTCAATTCTGTTTTCGATGCTGCGATTGCGCGGTCAATGAAACTACCAGGGCCGATAGTAGGTGGGGGTGCAACGGTGGTCACTGGAATAGGGGTTCAAACCGAAGAGAGTACACATATGATCAGTAGACGAAACACATTGCCAAAATATACACAGGAATTCTAGAGACAAACATTCTGTCGTTGACTGGAAGTTGTTCAAACAGAAACCGTTTGAGTGACATATTTCAAAAGGTTATCAGGAAGTCCTACGAATTACTCACTCAGTATCGTTAGCAGGGGACAACAACGACCTCACTAAAACATGGTGAGAGTGTCCCCCGAATTTTACTTGTAGGTGCAGGTTGCCAACAGTTTGCTAATCCTAAAACGAATGCGAACGAAACGCAATTTCGGGCGCACATCACATTGCACTGATCCAGAAAGAAGGTAAACATCTTTAACAAGGGAACCGTGAAACGTGTGATTCCAAGGATTTATGATAAGTTCAATGTTATAGAAGTCCCTAAGTGATTCCTGGTGAAAGAAAGAGGGGCCTTCGCTGCGGAGTTATTCATTAGAAAATGCCAACTGACCGGTTACAGACCACTGGGCAGAGAAGCAAAACTCTCATTTGCACCTTATTTACAAAAACTGGATACTCATCTTCTCCTGAATGCGTCTTCTTGAATTTTGCTGGATATTCATTGACTCCAATCATTCATCGGTCAAATCCAAGTAAATGTTACAAAGCGACTCCACAAATTCCTCAACAAATCTCCTCTTTTCAAGAGACGCAAAGCGAAATTCCACGAACACATACTACTCGCATGCCTCCCCATCAGTAGTATCACTGTTACACTGGTAGGGTAATGCCGATTGTGACTAGATTTTCAGGTTCGAATTTCGTAGCTTCTGCTACACTTAAATGACATCTGAAAAACACGTGCTGGTTGCATAACTTTCTCATGAAACACTCAGCATGGTTTCTTTTCTTACTTTCATATCCGCTTGGATTTTGTTGGAAAAACCTGAGCGATGTCCCTTAAAAAAAGATAAAGATAAAGCGTTCAGCTGTAGCACCCTTCCGGTGCCTAGCTGCCATGCCACCCGAAGGAAGCACGAGGGCTGGGATACTGCCAGGTTGCCCAAGCCTAGACAGGGGAAGTCGAGTGGCGGAGTTCGGATTCGAACCGCGGACCTTCAGGTTAGTAATCCGCGCTCTAACCACTTCGGCCATCTCGCCCCCTTAGGGTCCCTTAGGGTCACAGTGACCTTAATTTTTTCTGATTTTCATCAGATTGAGTGAATATGAATTGAATAAGGACATGAAGGCGATGAACAGTAGAATTGACATAAAACCAGTGAATGAAAGTGATTAAGCTCGACTAATGATTGCAAACAAGAAAACGGGATGTGTTCGACCGACGAAATGAAACTTATGACTCACATTCGTAGTCTTGGAGACGCTCGTTCAGGTAGGAACTAATCAGCGTTGGAAGCCAGGGAACATCAATAAGACCCAGTTGAACAAAACCATGGAAGTCAGTTTGGAAGCTAATTTTTACAGTGGGTGCAAACCCTGTCGATCTCGAAGTGGAACTCTCTGTAGACACCTTCTCAGCTTTGTTCTGGTACCTTGAAGTTGAGTCTGAGTTCGATCCGGTCCGATACCTATAGATCCAACTTTTAGCACCTTTGGAAACTGGTGCAACGGGCTTGGTAGTAGCGCTCGGCACTTCACCAGAAGGATCAGGTGGTGATTCCGTGACGACTTCAACCTTCACAGGGGGAAGACTGGATAAGGTAGGCTGAACCATTGTTTGTCTTTGATCTGTGGTAATTCGTAAAGAGATGGAAGGCAGAACAAAGAGTATTTCACCTTCAGTTGGTGGCCGCAACGGGTTAGGCCGTGGAGGTTGAGCAGGAGACCGCTCGTTTGAGACGTGGAGCTGTCGGCCAACAGTAGAGTCGGTAGTAGATGGCGCAGGAGCCAAGTGCTGTGGGGAACCAATCAGGCCTGTCCATGTAGGAACGGATGCACTGGATCGCAACTCAGCCGCTTCAAGAGTTAAATTTTTCTCTGGTGTTTGAGGGGACTGGGTAAACATATGCGGTCCAGTAGCCGGGATTGGTGGAGGAAACTGCACAGGAAACTGGGAGACTGGTATAAAGAAAAGACGACTGATCAGAAAGGACGCTTTAGCTGGTTCGCTCATCTATGGGACCTGTTTGAAAAGCATTAAGATCTTGATTACAACCTAGTGTATTTCATATCACGGCTAAAAGGCAGCAATGAAGGTCGAGTCTTGTTTGAGCAATAAGTCATATCGACATCAGTCTGTTACCAAAGTGACACGAGAGGCTAGGAGAGAGACATTGGTCATTACCTGTGATAAGAAAGCTGAGATGAGATTCAGTTATGCGGAGGATTGCTCTCCGGTGGTGGCACACCTAACCGGTGAGTCGAAACTAAACATCCTCATCTTAATCACTAGAATCAAAGAAAGTGTAATCCGCTATTTACGTCGTTTATCCTCGAAATTCTGACAGACTGATGCGTTTAACATAAGGAAATACTAACCCGAGGTACACTTCTAACTTACGCCTCATGATGTGTGTACAAGGCGAATAAGTGGAGACAGCGATTGAGGAAATTCACGGGGCAATAAAGGCGCTAGACTGCACGAGGTGAGTAGTTAGACAAGAGACGGATAATGGACTGATTACACGCAATGGAGAACCTACAAGCCGCGTGTGCCAGAGGGAGGATTTTCGATAGAACAAAATATGAATTTCATGCGAAGCTAACAACCGCCAACCGGTGCTACGTAAAAGGATAGTCATGTAATTGAGAAAAGATCGATAGATGATGAAACGGAATGAATAAATAGACTCACGTTGCACAACACCACGTACACTGTTCGGATCAGTACTTCGAACAAAACTGACAACTAAAAAAAAACAGAAAAAAACAGCGTCCTGAATTGACAACTCAGTTGTCTATTATCAGTGGTTCGATCAGAGGCAAACAGCTCATCCATTTGTCAGTTAACATACCTGTTACTGAATTCCTGGGGATTCTCATCGAGTTGGCTGCCAATCCCTACTTGGCTTTGATGACCACATGAATCCACTCTCGCTAGATTTAACAAGGATTTGTTCGACAGCTCCTAATGCCACGCGTTGGTTAGCAGTGATAATTTTTGTTATACCGTTCTCAATTGGCTTTCCCTTTCCTCCCGGCTTACCCCCCCCCCCAGAAAAACTAAATGCTACTTATCAGAGCCCACTGATTTAAGTAGTGTGCTCTATTCCAAGTGTTCATCTAATACACTCCGAATGGTGCGGTCAATATAGCACTTAGATAGAGGGAATGTTAAAATATTCAGAACAGCAGAATTACGACTAGTTTAGTCTGTAGCCCCATAAACAGTTAGTCCGGTTACACTCATCATCACTTTCAGATAAACAACCAGACCGGAGAACACTGCTGTCCCACAACAGTGCAATCAAATCAGTAATGTTCTCAAATGTTGCAAAAGGTCTGATGGTAGTCTGTGACCAGTTATCAGAGCCCACTGATTTAAGTAGTGTGCTCTATTCCAAGTGTTCATCTAATACACTCCGAATGGTGCGGTCAATATAGCACTTAGATAGAGGGAATGTTAAAATATTCAGAACAGCAGAATTACGACTAGTTTAGTCTGTAGCCCCATAAACAGTTAGTCCGGTTACACTCATCATCACTTTCAGATAAACAACCAGACCGGAGAACACTGCTGTCCCACAACAGTGCAATCAAATCAGTAATGTTCTCAAATGTTGCAAAAGGTCTGATGGTAGTCTGTGACCAGTACTCGACGAGCTTGCTCCATCGACTCCTCAAATAGAGTTGAAAATCACCTGTTGTAGTCTTTAGCTCGCATACGGTTAAAACAGATCATTGGCAACGTACCAGAATTATTCAAAGTAGTTAAACCATCGTTACCGACTGACATCAGAAGGGCAGTGTTACTCTGAGTACGTATTCGATTGCTTAGAAGCACACATACCATTTTTAGAGTACCGGAGTACATAGTATACCACTAAAAGACGGTCTGTCCCATCGAGTTCAAAAAGCTCATCAAAACTCACTTTCAGAAACGCAAGAACATCAGTACAGAGAGCCATTTATAACGGTGGTTGTGTCACCGTGTCCGAGATAAGAAACACGGGGCTCAGGCAACTGCGTGTAGATGAAATGCACAAACCTGTATTATCAGCGCCATGGAAAGTGAATTCCATCCATTCTGAAATCGTTAGAACCGGAGGGTTCCGTGTTGTGGGTTGACTGCCACGCCGAACTCGTAACACGTAGGCCATCTGAGGTTGGAACTCTGGATGAGAGCCCAAGTCAAAACTGAGTACTTGTCGAACATTCACCCAACCATCTTGTTCACTCGGGTCAGTAGGAGAAACATCTTGGACAGGGGGCTCTCGCTGTGCTTCTGTTTCGAAACTAGCAATCAGAAAACGACAGAGAAAGAGCGAAACGCTCTAATGATGCGCCCAAATGAGACAAGCATTGAGAATGACTTGATTGATTTAGTGGTTCACACACGCACAATCCACTATAGTTTGCCAACATGAATAAAGCAAAAATGGGATAACTGAGCAAAATCAAGAATAACTGGATTGATTTCACCACAAGCAACAAAAAACTCACCAAGCTGTCGGATACTGAATATTGAAAATGGCCCAATCCGGGGCTGAACGGAAGCTCCCTGCAAAGCACGCTAAACCGAGAGACCGTCCGGACAATTGCATTGATCCACCCAGAACTGGATACGTTTGATCCAAACTAGACATGAGTTGATTGAAGATCTGAACCTGATCAGCCGATTTCGAGTCGGGGCTCGCAGAGATTTGTTCTCGTATGTAGATTTTCAAAGATGAATAGAGCAGGCGCTGCCAGTGGCGTTGTAGAAGCCTGTCAACAAGTGCATTCTCTTCTTGATCTAACTGACCTTGTCCGGGTGCACTTGGGCCTCGAGGAAACTGGGAGAACAATTCGAACGTCCCACTTTGGCCAATAAGGGACAAACGTCCTTCGCGTACTTGCTCCTCAAAATATTCACGAACTTTGCTAATCGACCGAAGCAAATCCGGCGTAGTAGTGCGCACTATAGCCGTCTAAGAAAATAGAAAAGTGCTTTCCTCAAAATATCACGAACTTTGCTAATCGACCGAACCAAACAAAGCGTAGTAGTGCGCACTATAGCCGTCTAAGAAAATAGAAAAGTGCTTTATAACCTTGAGCCAGTACCGAGATGGGTGAGTAGGTAACCATCAGAACACTCGGTACGGCTAAACATTACCTGTGCTTGGTCCCAGTTTACTTCCCCAACTACTCGAATATACACTGGAGGGGCACCAACATCAGGTTCCGTTGAAACCTGTTCTTCCAGAAACGTAGAACGCACAGATGGAACACGAGCGGCTTGGAAATTCCCCCCAATAGAGCCAGTTAGCGTAGCCAGTTTGCATTCAACAAACTTTTTGGCAGCATCCTTCAATTTCCACTCGTCCTGCAGTTTCAAACTGAGCGCATTGACACGCATAAGCAGAATGTTAGTATTCATGTACTCAATACGGAGCTGAAAACCGCCGATACGCGATTCTAAACTGTGCTGAGGATCACGTGTTGGGTTGTCATCACTCCGAACTGTTGATGGGACAACAGAAAAACGGTTAGCGAACCGGGCATTCGGGGTCGGATTAAAATGCATCTAAATCACCGACCAATCGCATCGAGTAATAGTTTCGAATCTAGTAGAGGGCTAAAGTGTGCTCTCAAAATCCTATTGATTCTACTAAGTTACGTTACTTAGTGTAGTTAGAAGACACGTGCTCCTAGGAGTTTGTTCATCCAAAATAAAGCCCAACATTTAAGACAGCTAAAAAATCAACTGCGTCGCCAGACCACTAGGATATGTGGCAATCGATTTGCTCGTCTTATAGGAATCCCTACAAAGACCGGCTGATCAGACCGGTGTCTAAACGAATGTGTCTGAACCCGTTTCATTTCAGCTGGTGAAAGGTTAGGAGCAGATGGGGAGTCAACAATCTGACTTAAGCGCACCAAGTAGACTCATGACACCAGGTGGGCACTCTCAGTACTCGAAAAGTTTCCTACGAAGTCAGCGTAAAACGAATGAGGATGGCAAGCATCCGGATGCCGAAGAGTGTGAACACTTTTGCCATTCGAATCCATAAGTCAGAGCTTCGTGCCACTTATATTCCGGTCCAGCCACAACGGCAGAGACTTCATGTGCCAAAAGCCAGCACTAGTGCAATGGAACATACTTCGTGTTCAACACATGACCCACACACTACCATTCAATCACTTATTCATTCCCGTGCTAGTTATTTGACTCACGTGCCGCTTTTTTACCCATTGTTCTTACTGCTCTGCTCTGT